AAGTCAGCCATGAACTGACTGCACACCATGTACCAGGCACTGTGTTGAGAGTTTACCTAATTTATGGCATTTCTCTGAATCCTCAAAACCACCCACAAGATAGAGATTATTTCCCTAGTTTCAGTGAGGAAACTGAGGCTCGGTATGGTTATGTGTAACATTGTACAATGTTATGCTGCTGCTTCTGCCTGGGAATCAAATTCTAGGCTGTCACCTTCCAGAACCCAAGGTAGGAGTCACTGGTCCCAGAGCTCTGTGTCCACAATGTGTGAACAGCTTCACCTTCGCTTGAGTATAAGTACTTCCAGAGTGAGGCCTTGGAGTCATAATGACTTGCAGGAGAAAATAGTAAGTCTCTTCTAGAAAGCCAGGAATTTAAAACCTGTCTACAAAGCCAGGTTCAAATGCCCACCTGCTTCAGTGTGTCATCTGAGTACCCCAGCCAGGCACACGTTGTAGTGTAGGCAGGGTAGCCATGTGTCAGCATTTGCCCTTCTGTGGAAATACAACGCCCATCAACATTTTGTGTTTTCCAGGGACCTTTAGAATTAGAATTGCCTGTAGCTAAGCTGCTGCCCCACAGAGAATTTCCTCTGACCCTGCCCTTCACGTGCACCCAGCCCCGCAACTGTGCAAATTCTGAGGCTGTCAGATGGAGGTAGGAGGGGTCAGGACGCCCTCTAGGACTGTACCGCTAACCAAGGGCCTTCCTGCAAAGTCACACCCAGGAGACTCACCTGGTTGTCGGGGAGGACAATGTGAACCCCCAAAAGACAGGGACATTCGAAAGAGGGCAATGGTAGCAAAAATAGTGAAGGAAGTTTCCTCATAACCTACCTCTCTCTTTTTTGACCTTTCTGTAATATTTCTGGAAAAAAAAAATCAAAAGCATCATCACTCTTAGACAACAAATCACACCATTCACTACATTATTTGCACGTCAGCATGTACCAGAAAACTTCCAGCTCCATCACTTGAGTATGACTCACCGTAGGCTTCCTCTTCAGTCAGGACTTCAGTGATGTACCTAAAATCTATGCAGATAACAGCATCCTGGGGTCCTGGCAGGATGACACGATGGGAGAAAGGCCTGAATCAATTCACAAGAGGATTATGTTTCTAAGAATCTGCTTACACTAATACATGGGGCTTATCCTTTCCAGGAAAGGGCCTTTGGGATTTGTGTTACATTGTTTGATTCTTTCATTCCTCAGTATAGAGTCCTTCAGAGGGTCATTGCTGTCTCCTGGTGAAGTCCTCAGGCCCTCCCTCATGCTCTGACCCTTCATTCCCCCCATATCTCCCCTCCCTCAAAACCTAGGCTCCTCATTCCAGGCTTCTGGAAGGAGAACCTGGTGTGCAGCAAGCACTCAGCATGAGTTAAATGGATAGATGGAGTGCCTGGTTTCACTCTGTACAACACTGCTCCACACTTCAGGGCTGACCATGATACTGGAGCAGCTGAGCAGGAGAGGAAGGAAGGCTGGTCTCAGAGCTGGGCCGCTCAGGGTCAACCCTGTGCTCGCTGTTTATTAGCAGCATGGCCTTGGGCAATTTCTCTCCTGTCATATAGAGACAATTCACTTCACTGACAGGAACGGAGTGTATTAAACTGAGAGTGCCCAGTGTGCAGACTCCCTGGATCATCACTGGCTGTACTCTCCCCACCTCTTCCCGCCCCATGCTCAGTGCTCCAGCCACACTGGGGAAGGCAAACATGCAGCCAGGCCCCTGGCAGAGACTTCTCCCCACCCCAAACTAACAGTCACTTGAGAAGCAATTGGTAGCTCCATTCCCACTCAGCTTTTACTGTGACAATTATACTCCACTATAACTTAAAAATTGTAAAAGCTCTTTCAATGCTGAGATTCTGCTTCTTTTAAGAGTACTGGCATTGAAACACAGAACAGGATTTGAAAGAATGAAAAGTCCGCAGGTGGCATTTCCAGCACCTTCCTAGTGACCCTCAGGATCATTCAGTTTTGGGGGCCACCTCCTGAACCCTTCTGAAAGGCTAACCTGGAGCCAAGAGGTCCATGCTCTTCTCCTTCAGATGGCCCCCCTATGCCACCCATAACCATATCAGAGAGATGGCGTGATATCCTACTGTCTTCACTAGCCAACAGTCTTCAAGGCCATGCGGTTCGTTTTTCCTTGATTGAAATGCCAAATGATAACAAGGGCCTTCATTTGTTGACCACCAGAATTATAATGCCCATCCAAGGCATTGCCCTGAGCCAGCTGACGTTCAGAGAGGTTAAGTGACATGCCCAAGGTTACCCAGCCAATAAGTGGTAGAGCCCGGAGTCAAAGCCAGGTCTGCCTGGGTCTGAAGTTCACTGCCCTTAACTTGCCCAGAGTTTTTTCTCCTCAGCTGCCAGGTGTTCGTCCTGCTATAAACAGGTCAAGGAGAAAGGAGACAGCAAGATGCATATCTTTAGAATTGTTTGGCTCCTTTCCTTCTGGAATGGTACTGTCTGATCCATCACTTACTTTTGGAGTCAAAGTAATATAATATTATATTATATACCAAAGTAATATTATTATATTAGGTCTCATATTATTATATTATAATAATATAATATCTTAATAATAACATCTTGCTCTTCAGAGTTTGTGAAGCACTTTCCTCCTTTGGTCTTTAAATCAACTCTATGAGGTTTCTAGAGAAGTTATGATCATCTACTTTTCAGTTAGGCAACTGGAGGCTCTGAGAATTTGCATTATGTGGGAAAGCTCCACAGTGGGGGAGGAGCGACCACCCTGCCTGCGGGAGCACAGCTATCTGCTACTTCAAATATCAGACGAGACGTTTCAGATTCTACTGGTGTTCTGCTTTATCATCACTACAGTGATCCATAGACAGTCCTGAGTATATTGACTGATTATCAAAAGACAAGTAATTCATGAAATCCATTTCATTTACAGAAACAGTTATGATGTTAAAGAGTTTACTTACCATGTCAACAAGTAACTTCCAAAGAGGCTTGAAAAAGAAAAAGAAAATACTTTTAAAAACATATGTGTAAAGTACGAAAGTAAATGCTAACCCCCCATCAAACGGCTGCCCACCTGCCTACCCGTCTCCAACACTGCCTCCCAAACCCTCACCTTTGCTGTTCCCCGCTTTATTCTCAATCCTTTCTAACCTTCTCCTACAATTTCCTAACTACTGCCAATATCTCTAAGGGAGAAAAAAAATCAAACGACTGCCTATATTTCCTTTGGGGAGCCTGCTATGGATTTGTCTTTCAGGCTGCTCTTAGGGGAAGTGTTTATTCCTCTGCATGTGTTGTGTTGTCCCACAGTGCTCTGGAGTGAGTTACCTTTCCTTCCTGCTTGGCCCGCAGGTCCCACACAGCATTGAGGATGGCCGCTGTAGCCAGATGCACAACAGCTTTCTTGGGACCGATCTGGTTAGGAAGCAAAACACACTTGCTCTTCTTAGAAATGTAAAAGATACTCAGGTCTCCTAGCCAGGGTCACATTTTAGGAATAAAGGCAGCAATGGAAACTCACTTAAAGGCTAAGTTTTTGTTTTGTTTTGTTTTGTTTTAATAGTTTCTAATCTACAGAAGAGTTGCATAAATAGTACATAAAAAATCCTATATGTATCTATTTTCGATCTCTCTCCCTCTCTGTCTCTCTCCGTAAATGTATATGAAAGTAAAAGTAAATGCAAACTCCTCCTATCAAACACCTGCCCACCTGCCGACTGGTCTCTAACATTGTCTCCCAACCCCTCAACTTCGTTGCCCGCCCCCTTCTTTCTCAGCTCTTTCTAACCTACTTTAAAATTTCCTAACTACTGCCGATATCTCTAAGGGAGACAAAAAACAAGCAAACAAAAAAATAGAACAATTTCTTTCGGGAAATATTTCCTTTGGGGAATCTGCTGTGTATTTATATAAAATATAATCTAGAATAAATAAATAAAATTTATTTTACTGAACCATTTGAGAGTAGGTTGCAGGTATCATGCCCCTTTAACCCTAAATACTTCAGTGAGCAGTTCCTAAAAACAAGGACATTTCTCTTATATAACCATAATACATGATCCAATTCCGGGACTTGAACATTGATAGAATTCTATTAGCTAAAAGACAGTGCATAATCGAATTTCACAAATTGTCCTGATAATGTACTTTATTTTATTCACACATTGCATTTCGTTGTCACATCTCTTTAGTCTCTTTTATCTGGAACAATTTTTCTTTTTCTTAAAAAGGTGATGTTGACATTTTTAAAGTGTTCAGGCCAGTTGTCTTGTACAGTGTCCCTCAGTTTGGGTTGATCTGGAGTTCCGTCATGATTAGATTCAGGTTGTATATCTTTGGCACAAATTCTATGTAAGTGATGTCATTTGTTTTTTTATTAGGGCTTTTAACTTTTAGTGCTTGGGTAAGTTAGTGTCTATTAGACTGCTGCACCGTGAGGTTGCCATTTTCCTTTTCTAAGTAAGGAGATTATATGGCCCCCAAATTTTAGCATCTACTGTTAATTCTTGCCTCAAACAATTATAGTTGCGATAATTACAATATGGTGATTGCCTAATGTTATCATTCCTTTTATATCAGTTTGTCCTCTATTGTAATGATAATCTTTCTCTGTTGTTTGTTTACTATCTGAATAGACTCATGGATTCTCATGTTATTCAATGAATTATAAGCCATCATCACCATATTTATTTTGATGCTTGAATTGTCCCAGATTTGGCCACTGGGAGCTTCTGCAAGAGGATGCCTTTAAGAACAAATTTAACTTGCTTTGCAGGAGTTAAGAACAAAACCTGAGGCAGTGTGGAAAGGGGGTTCCCTTGTGTCTTTCTCTGTGAATGGACGAGAGACTGAGGGGAGTTAGGAAAAACAAAGCTATGTCGGAGACAAGGGCAAGGCCTGGTTATTGGACTGATTTGACGTGACAGAACCCTTTCTCTAGAACCTCACTTTTTTCATACCTCGAACTTAGGGTTCAAATAATATCTATACACATAAGAGGTGCTCTGGTCTATCTTCTTAATTTTGCCCTTCAATCCAAAACTACTCTCATTCTCTCTCCCCCACAAAAGGTTAACCATTCAGCACTTAATCATCGAGAGAATTTAGACCATGTCTCCCTATTCAGGGACTGGAGATGAGGTCCAGAAGGGCAGAGATAGTCTCTAGATCCAAATATGTCTAGATTCAAGTCTTACCAAAAGGAACCATTTACCTCAAAACACTGATTCTCTAAAGAGTTCAAGTCCTAACTTATCTGAATAAAATGTTTTACCTCAGAATTGTAAAATTGTCTCTATTTTCACATTCGTTGTAATCAAAGGACAGCTTCGACCTTAGTAACATTATTTATAGAAGCCTTTTACAAAATAGACCCCTTACCCATCTGAGCTGCCCATCACTCGTGAGCTGCCTATAGAAGCCTCTGAAGTTACCAACAATGTCCCTGAGATCCTTGTTAAGCACATGGTGGGCCAGGGCATTCACAGCACAGACAACTGTTAAAAGAGGATTTAAGTCTTGTGTATGTCTTAGCATGAAGTCATTAAATTAAGACATGCAAGCACTACAAACTAATGTTGATATTTTATGAAAGTAATTTTAAATACAAAAGTATATGTTTTTAAAACTTGCCCCAGATATATCTTCTGTGGTTGTCATAGTATCTGACAAGTAGAACAGCTGTGAATACATATACAGAGCTTAATTTCTGAGCCAAGCAAACACATTTTGACTGGTTGCCATGTGAAAAACAGACTATAGATCCAAAAATTTAAATTATGTTTCCAAATTATTTTCTTGTTCACTTTGTAAAAGAGTCCAGTCAGATTCGAAACCAAACCTTGCTAGTTCATTGTTCCAAAGGAATAAGAAGATTAACTTATAGAAGTAAAAAAAGAAGTGCCTGTTCATTATTGTCCAGTAGGGAAAATATCTTGAATTCACAACATAACACACTATTAAAGACGAAATGAATTTGCAATTAGCCTAATACATGTCAACTGTTAAAGTACATGAAAACACTAGTTATAACATTAAGTTGCTTACTATTGACTTATAATATACTACATTTTTCATACATAATTTGAAGGCTAAATTTAATTTGAGTCAGCATTACCACGAATTATTTATTTTTGGTGTTTTATTTAAAAAGGCTTTATTGTGTTATTTCAGATGAAGAATAAGTAACAAATCAAATGGGAATTTCTATTTCTTCTTCTCTTTGCTCGGTCTATACAACAATTAGTCTATGTGTAAGTGGCTGAAATAATCAAATCACCAACTTAGTCCCAAAGCAATTCATTTATTAGAAAAAATTCTGATAAACTTGTTTGGTGTTGTCATTGCTTCGATATTAAAATTTTCAGGTCACATAATAGGATAGTTGTAGAGGTACAATTTTACTATCAGTCATATCCTAGGAGGAAGACCTTTGAAAGTATTTGAAACATGCTCTTAGAAACATGCCTGGCCTCTGGGTGAAACAGCTCTCAGATGATCACGCATCTGTTCTCACATGGAGTGTTTAGGGCTGGACCAACTATCCTGTGTTAATGGGCTACAGAATCATTCCAGTTCAGATATTCATACCCTCGAATTGTGAGAAGACAGAATCCTCACTCCTTGATGGGTGATGCTCTTCGATTCCAGCCATCTAAAGTCAGCAACTCAGAAAGAGGCAAATCGTTATCGATGTCAAACCTCCATCTCATTGATGAGATGGTTGCTGGAAACCACTGACTGAAGCACATCTCTCTTTTGTGTCACAAGGGCAATGCATTTAACAAAAGTTAAGGATGACCTCATCTTTTGCAGTTCTAAAAGATGCACAAGCAACACTAACATATTCATCTATAGTATGTGGATTTGCCTTGCTCAAACTGAGGCTGCTCATTGCAAGCAGTTAACTAAATTTGATGCATCCGATAGAAATTTGGTTGTGGTGGTCTGACTCCAGCACAAAGAAAAGTCCACTTCAGGTTTTCATGTTTGATACATTAGGTGGGGAATTCGCCTGGAAAATTCTGGTCTGTGAAGGTAGCTTCTTGCTGACTAAACTGAAGAGTTCTCTCTCATACTACTTCTGTCCAGGACTCAGTTCTGGGACCTTCCAGCACAGGAAGAACAAGTCAGTAAAGCATATGGATGACCATGGGTGTCTGAGCCTGAGAGCTGGCGTGAATCCTTTAGGCTGCTTTTGGTCTCTTCCTACTTAAAAACAAAACAAAAAATTATATTGGTCTATTCTATATATTAAAAAAACAAAGGTAACCTAACTTCCCTCTCCTCTCTCTTTTTACCTCTCTCTCTCTCTCTCTCTCTCTCTCTCTCACACACACACACACACACACACACACACACACACACACACACACACTCTCTCTCAAGCATTCTCTTTACGGTAATAAAGAAAGACTATTGACTATTTTCTTTTTTTGTTTGCATCATAAAAGAATGCTTAGGTAAGTAATCTGATAAAGGCTACAGGAGAACAGCAAAGAGCTAATGGGATTTTTTTCATCTTTAATGTGAATGCCATGTAACACATTCAGCAAGACTGCAGTGAGTCACTTGATATAAGTCACTTGATATAAGAGGCAGTCTTAAAGTTAAAATGGATTCTGTCATGTTGTGGTTTGAAGAGGCAGAAGCTAACAATGTCGCCACAAAAGAGCCATTTATTAAAGTCATAAAGAACTGAAAATTGATTTAGCTCTGTCTGAGATGTCCATCCGAACAGCTGGATAGGATGAAAATGGAGGAGGGGAGGGATTGTGAAGACCCTAAAACACTGAACTCAGCAACCAGCCCAGAAGAGCCCGATATCTGGCTTAGTGGCATGCAGCGTGCACAGGGTCCCTCCATTGTGTGGAAGTCAGCAAAGTCCAAAATCTTGGCCATTAATAGAAAGTGGTTCCAATGGCCTGTCCCATAACATATTTTGTAACCCTTGCTGAGATTTAAACAACCTTTGGGGCCACCTGTATGGTTTGCAGTATGGAGAAAGCAGATTCAACTTAGACCAGAAACAAGTAAAGTCACAGGAGAAGCTAAAACACAGCTCACAAACCTATCATGGTCAGCAGTCACTGCTCTGGGGTAAATGCTAACAGTAAATGCTTGACAATGGAGAGGGGCCCGGGGAACCATGGCCAAGTCTCCTCTTGCCTGGCAAATTCCCAGTTACCCTTGAGACTCACTCCAAAGCCTTATCTCTTCTTTGAGGCCATCCTGGCCCTCTCGGACAGTGAACTATCCGTTCTTCTGTGTAACTTGTAGCCAATTTAGAAAATAGTCTTTTTCACACTGCACTAGTATTTCTTTTATATCTGTCTCCCAGAGAAGTTTGTGCATTCCCTTTTCCTAGTATGTAGAACTCTGTCTTCTTTCTTTTTCTTTTTAAAATTATCTCCACTAATTGGCAAAGTGCTTGATACACATGAGCACTCGAGAGAAATTTGTTGAAGGACTAGCTGATGGCATGACTGAACACCAGTCCTGTGGCAACCTGGATCAGCAGTGACCTTGGTGATATCCACTTAAAATTCAAGAAAGGTTCATTTGGCTTACACACACACACACACACACACACACACACACGTACACGCACGTGCACACACACACACGTACACGCACGCGCACACACACACACACACACACACTTCTTTTACCTGCTCAACAAGGTTTTGATTCTACAACTAAGAGATGGCTGACAGTACACATATCTATTGGAGAAGCATCACATCACCACCAAAGTCAGAGAATCTGTGTCCTCCCTTCCCAACCCCTCCCTCTTGAGCCTGTCATAATTTGGCTTTGGCCCTAATGATCCATTGGAATTGATCTGGCAAAGGTCATCTTTTTGCATTTCATGAATTTTGTACCCTGTGCATGGATTATTCATATAAACAAAAACAAATAATGTGTATTTAAATGTTCTGGAGAGGCTGCTTCAGGCAGTCAGGGCATTCTGCAAGACCAGTTGAGCAGCTGTTTGGGCCTCAGTTTCCTTATCTCTAAAAAATAAAGAGCTTAAGACCAGTGCTAAGATCTGGTCCAGCTCTGAGAGAAGAACAACTAACTCACGGCTCAATGTGCATCCTACATGATCTGCCTTTCCTAGATGAAGGCTCTGAAACTGGGCAGGGCCAAAGGCGTAAGGCATGAAGAGTAGTGAACTTGAAACCGACTCAATGTGAAGCATTTTGAAAAGTGAGTAGACACACTGTGCACATCACAATAAGCCTTGCTATGTGAGTGCATGTCTGCCCCTCTCATGTTCCTCAGTCACTTGCCTAGTTTCGGTCCTCAAAGCTCTACAGAGAAATGGAACGACATTAAAAGATTTTCCCACAGGCTATAGATAACTACCAGGGGAGAAGCTAAATTCTGCCACTTTTTAAATTTCTCCCAATGAAATAAATAACCATGAAAGGTTGTTTTTACTCACTCTGGGCTGTAAATACAGAGAAAGACAGGTCAGAGTGAAATTTAAGCATTCTGGAACCTTAAGAGAATGTTCAACTCATCAACTTCAGTGCCTTTTCCCAGAGTGAAGGTAATTCCATAAGCCTCGAGTCCATCTTCTGCATCAGTCTCTAAGACAACATAGGCAGCTGAGTAGTCAGGGTCTGTGTGCTGCAGGGAAAATTTCCCCGCCCCCAAACAACACACACATGACAGATCCAAAAATATACTTGACAATGATAACACTAAGAATAGAAAATGCAACAGGAGATATACAAGAAAAGCTCCAACCTGATGGAACCCTGCATGTACTTCAAAGAAAGTATATACACTCTTAATGGACAAAAGGGACATCCTCCTGAAGGATTCAAACTATTTTAACAAGTGCAATGTGTACATTTTTAATACCAGTTTGCAATTATGTCTCCTTTGATGTTCAGCTCAATTTTAAATCCAGGAGTTTCGTCTACAGCTATCTCTGTCAGCTCTTTAAACAGAGTTACATTCACAAGCAGTTTCAAATTGCACAAGCCACGCTTTCATAAAATTCTCACATAAAATTAGATTTACCTTCATTACAGCCATTTAGAGCAGAGCCAAAAAGACAATGGCATAAATTCAGAGTTGATCACTGAGAGGGGGAGGAGGAGTGATGAAGAATGAAAACCTTCAAGACTAATCAAGCTATTTTTTGTTTTGTTCTTTGTTGAAAACTTCCGACTATCAAACAGTATTTTGATAATAAACACTGGTGGATATGTTTGTTGATATGCGGGATACAGAAGTGAAGAAACACAAATCTATCTCTAGAAATTTCTCATAGAGTGGGGAGAAAAAGCCAACATGCAAGAACCAGGTGAGAACAACTGTTAAGACAGTACAAATCATGTGCTGATGTGTGGTTAGTTAAAAGTAACATAGAATTTCAAGGACGAAGAGCAAAGGGGAAATAAGAGACCGGGACATTTGAATGGACAAAGGGGCGGGTGAAGGCATGCAGGCGAGAGAGTGATACGAAACTCAGAGGTCTTGTGAGACAGAAATAAAAGGCCCATGAGGGCACTGTTTTGCAAGTGAATGAAGACAAGGTTGGATGGGTGGTGTAGGGGCAGATAATGGAGACCCCGAAAAGTCAGGCAAAAGATCTCAATGGATTAATAAGAAATGTAGGATGCAACTCTTGAAAAGTTTTGCATAGGACTATAACAATTTATTACCATTGTTGTTGTTGTAAAATATTTATTATTCCAGGCACTCTATTTTAAGAGCTTTACATGGTTTAATTTAATCCTTACCACAATATTATAATCCTACAGATGAGGAAACTGAGTTTAAAGAGGCAGAATTTAAATCCCTGTGTTCAAGGAGAGGGAGGATATGCACATAATGGACAGGAGGCCTTTCTCTGGCATTGAAGCCCAGGGGAGGGCATTTGATGTGATATGTTGCCGAGCACTAGCTGCATGTCAGAGATCGTGCAGGTTGCTGAGGGGCACAGATATGTCCACCCTTGAGAAAGTTCCAGTTTGGAAGCCATGGTTATAGAAATTCTGATACTATGAGGCAAAACATGGTAAGTCTCTGGGAAAGACGCAAACGAAAGCCAGGAAGAGAACACTATTAGCTAAATGCACCTGAAGCTGGGGTAGCGTTAGGATGAAAGTAGAATCTGAGCTGGTCACTTGAGGATGGGGAGCTGCGCAGCAATGTGGAAGAGGCATGAAGGATCTGGGAAGGAAGAATCTCTCAGGCCAGGTGAAGGCAGTAAACAGAAAAGGGAAGGACTGGAGTGTTTTTAAGGGTTAGTGACCATCCTGGTTTTGGTGGTTCCTGAGGGAGAGGTTGGGACATAAGACTCAGAGAGACTTCAGGAATTAAAGAACCATGGATGAATCTGGCCTACACAGAGAAGAAGCAATGGAAAAGAGAATCCTTTCACTGAAGCCTTCTGTGAGGGTCAAAGGAGGAGATGAGCTGAGAGTGACTTGAAGTTTTTGAGTCCTTATGACTGGCAGAATGATCCCAAAAGGGAAGATGATAAGTTCAGATTTTGATGGATGGTGTTTAGCATAAAGGTGAAAAATCCACCACGAAGTGCCGAGGTGGTAGCTAGACTTGAGGTGACAGGGAAGATCCAGAAATGGGGTCTGGGTGTCTTTGGCATTAAAGTGGCACTGAAACTGTGAACATGGAGGGGTCTTAATCAGAGTGTGCAATGAGATGGGAAAGACTTGAGGCTTGAGCCTTGGAAGAAGGAGATCAGCATAGGAAGAAGGAGCAGTCAGAAAGGCAGGAGGCCAGCAGGGCAGAGATGGCAGAAAAAGGGGTAGCAGAGAGTGTGAATAAAGGACACTGGAAGCAGAAATAATAAGGGGACTCCAGGAGAAGAAAGGAGACGGAAAGCAACTTCAGATTAAGGAGAAAGCAGATGTAAAGGATGGAGGCGACAGGCATGGACCAGTAATTTAGTGTTTGGTGGGGAAGGGGCAGAAACAGAAAGGAGCAGAGAGGTATGAGGGTCAAGTAAAGACTATTTCACAAGTGAGAAGCCCTGTCCAAGTCAGACGGAAACAGAACCATTGGAAAAGGGAAGCCTGAAGACAAAAATGCTAGAGATGGAGGGGATGAGAATGGGGGCCTAGAGGTCAAGAAGGGTGGAATGGGAATACAGGAGAATAGTTTGGGAGAAAACACGACTTATAGAAAAAAAGGAAAGAGGAGAAGGATGGTTTGGAGACTGATGTGCAGAGATAAGGCCAAGGGTTCATTTGTCTTCAGCATGGTCTGGAACGCAGTGGGCAACGTCTTCTCACTGTTGGAGGTGCAGGACTGGGGGGCCAGAGGAGAGAAAATGGTCTAAAACAGCTGCTCCGGGGAGCTCAACAGACAATTGGAAAAGGAGAGAATAACAAATCATAACTGGAACCCTCTGCTTGAATAGATTTTGGGGATAGTTTCAGGGCTTCTTCATGAAAACATCCTGCTTATAATCAGGAAGGCTCACCCTGCAGCTAAGTGCTGAACATAGCTGAATTGCCAAGTCCAGCATGTCGTGAGGGCATGGGAAGCAATCAGGAGGGTAATGGCAGCACCACCAAGAACTGCAAAGTAGCATATTCTATTAAAGAGGCACTTGAGAATCAGCACACAACATACACCATATCTCTGGAGATAAATACTTAAGTATTTATGAGCTTGCAATACAGGTATCAGATAATATCTCCTGATCCAGAAATTATAAAACACTCAGGCCTAGAGACAAATTCCATTTCTTATTCTACAGCAAATCAGGCTACTTTAACTCATCACAAATTCAAAGTGGAGTAGAGGAAAGTCTAAGTCAGGGCCCCTTAGCTTCGATTTCCTTATATGGAAATAGTAATCATAGCAACCCTTACTGATGGCTCGCACTGTGTCAGGGCTCTTCACAGGTAGTTCATTTACAGGTATGAAGTGGACAGCATTAGACCCATTTTACAGATGAGAAAACCTACACTTGGAGAGATTGAGTGGTTTCCCCACAGCTTCTGTGGTAGCCTGACTCTGTCTGGCCATTTCCTGCTCCAACGAGTTCATTCCTGACTGCCCTTCCCCCACCTCAAGGGCTCTTCAGCTAACACCAGTTTTTCCGTAGCTTGCCAAACAATTAATGTTCTTCCTTATATCTGTAACTATGTAGGAATCACAAGACTGTATAAAACTGCCTGTTATGTAACAATCGGGGCTCAGCTTTTGGATAAGAATCCGCTGAGCCGGTGTTGGCATCAATAAATGCTGCTTGCTGCTTATAGCCTCGGTGTGCAGTCTCTCCGTTTGTGAATCCTGCAACACTGCTACACCTCAGAGGGGCAAAGGAAGTTGCACTAGATCAGGTACTTGGATTTTATAAGCCAGTAAAATTTCAAACATTTATTTGGAAATCCCCGAAGGATTGTCAACTGGGTGTTTTTTTGTCATTTACCATAATTCCATATAAGGAAAGATACATAAGGATATTAGTGCAGTCTCTCGGTTTGTGAATCCTGGAACACTGCTACACCTCAGAGGGGCAAAGGAAGTTGCACTAGATCAGGTACTTGGATTTTATAAGCCAGTAAAATTTCAAACATTTATTTGGAAATCCCCGAAGGATTGTCAACTGGGTGTTTTTTTGTCATTTACCATAATTCCATATAAGGAAAGATACATAAGGATATTAAAAAGTCAGAAGAACTAATCTCAGAATAAAGGAGATTCTTTTAAATGTAATAACTGTTTTGTTAGCATTTTTTAACAAGAGGCCTATTTTTATAAAATATTTTGGGTACACAAAGAGCATAGGTAAGGTAATAAACATTAAGCGTGCCCTCTACCCACTTAAGCAGCACATTACAGTGCGAATTAGCATCCTCTAGGACCCATTCTTTTCTCTCCTCACAGGTGACAGGTCACCATTATCCTAACATGGTCATTTCTTACTCCCAGCATGTGTTCACACATTCATGGCATACTCATGCAATTGTGTTTTTCTAATGTGGCCATATGTGGGTGGATGGAGGAGGACAGTGAGGATCCAATGGGTGACAGGCTTCGAGGAGACCTTGCACAGAGCTCATATATTTGGGAATCATTGCACTAGATGATGGTGGTAGGGGTGGGGGTCCCTCTAACACTCTCGGTAAGCAAAATGGTGTTCACTATTTAGGTAGGAGTCAAAATCCGTGCCATTAATGCATCTCCAAAGACTGATACTTGCATAACTCTTTACAGCAACAAGTCCTTTCTAACTACATTTTCAGATAATTTCATGAGCGCCTCCTCTCATATGACCTAGAGTCACTACGAGCTTGTCTCATTTCCCATCCAGGCTGTGACTCCTTCATTTCATAGATGAGCCCAAAAGGCCCAGAGAGTTGAGGTAGGGTATTCTCCAGGTCATACAGCAAGTTATGGCATGGGCAGGATCAACACCCAAAACACCCAGTCCCGGTTTCCTGATCTCCAACAAAGAGAACCCCATCAAGTTCTCAGTATAGAAGTCAGTGCCCTCCCCGCCAAAAGCATTTTGCTGTTGTTGCATATCATGCATCCTACCATTTCCAGCAAAATATGAATCATAAATATAAAAACAGAAAATATTAAAGAC